GACTCATTAAATGAGGAGAAGGAATTTTCTGGGATTGAAGATCTTCTGGGTGAGTGGTTGACTAAAAGCATGCATAAAATAAAAGCTATTTTTCATTATTGATTGGTAATAGATTGATAATTGGCCACATTTACAGCTGTATTGACTTGTTGTGGACGCAGTCTACTTCATGGTTAAGCACTCTAATTAACAGGTTGAAAATAGAGACATTAAAGGAAGAGTATGCAGCGCCACCCCGTCAGACGCCAGTGACGGTGAGCTGCATTCATGGCTAAGATTTTAAGAACTAAGATTCCCCTGCTGTGGTCAGTAAGGGAAAAACAGGGGGAAATGAAATTTGAAAGAGGCATTTATAAACGTTTATGTGTGAAGTTTATAAACGGGATAAAAGGGGGTGTTTTACTGTTATTTCAGCATCAGCATTATTGTTACATCAGAATCATATAACAAGCATTGCATTAAACATTTCTTGAAGCTATTGACATTACATTAACATTTGTGTCCCAGTGATTGTTATAACCTTAGGTTAATCTTCTATTTACAGGTGTCGGGATAATCATATAATCTTTCATTGCAGGTGTAACCATGATCATCTTTATACATATTGCAGTTTGTTGCTCATTATAGAGTTGTGCTCAAGTTAATAAGGGTTAAAAGCTACAGTCAATGCGATGTTTGGCTGATCTATGGACTGGAGTGACTTCGAGCATAGAAGGCCGCACGCGCTTACATAACACCGATGTCATGCTTTTCTTTGTGATCTTTTATTCAGTTATATCTTTTGCTAAGTTTTAAGTAGTGGCAGTTAATTAAACGACATTCATTTAATATTACATACCTGATTCCGAGCATTACACACAGATCAATTTAACAATCTGCAAAACCTTGTAGCCGCAATATTGGGTCTCCATAAGGGACAGTTGGCTCCAGGAGATAGGTGGGAGTCAGTGCCTGTCCTCGAGGAGGAGAGCATGTTTCTTTGCTGTGTCTAAAGTAGTCAGCAGGTCCATATTGAAGTGAAGTTCATATTATTACAGGTTTTGTATCTTGGCAATTCTGCGGACGCAGGCTCTGGGTGGAGCCAGGAGTTGAACAGATCTAACATGACAATTAAATTGATTTCATTCCCTAACACAGGATGACACATGGGAATGTGTCAAAAAAGGGGGGAAGTCGAGTTTTAACATCAAACAAGGGTTATATGAACATTTTTATGACTTCATTTGTGTTTTAATAATTTAGGTGTGGTAAAGCTTAAGCTAATAGTGACCCAAGAGGTTTCCGGACTTTTTTAGAGAATCAGGGAGAAGCATAAATCATTATTTCCATGTTTAAGCGTTAATCATTAAAATGAACTGAATAGCGTTTAGAAGATAAAATGCCTGTGTTCACGAGAAGCTGAGTACCACACTAGAGAGGAAACCGTGGGACGGTATAGGCGGAAGGAAACACATGATTTTTGTGAAAATGGGGGTCAAATGTTAGGATTAAAAATGGCTAATTTGTTTTTGATGTCTTTTGTTAAAATGAGTGGTTTTAATAATTTTCAGACACACCTTGCAAATGTGCTCATAATGAGTTGGCACTCGGTCTTTTGAAGGTCATAAGCTTCGTTCGGCGTGATGGTCCGGACTGATAAAGTGTAGGAAATGCCTTGAGTGCAGAGGGCATAATGCAAACACACTTACACACACATAGGATATGATTAGAATAAGTCCCTGGGACATTCTGAATATTCTAAACCAATTCTGAAGCACCAGAAGATCAGTAGATAACAACATTGGATTATTCGAGCTAGGCAGAGAGGTGTTTTGGTTTTCTGTCTCTTACAGAGAAAGGAACAGACACCAGACGAGGTCACAGATAGGATCCTTCGCAGCAGAGACAGACACGGTGACTGCCGAGACACCAAATGGGTTCAAGTGTCATGGCGTTTGGGCTCCAGCTAGTCACCTCAAAAGGATGGATCCCATAAACACAGCAATAACCATGAAGGGGTTGGCAGAAATCCAGGAACACCAGACCAACGAGGTTTGAGAGGCTCTCGGGCAAAGGGGGGATTAAAGAAAGAAGAGCAGAGGATCACCCAACTGGACGACACTGGTGGCTGCAGCAATAAAATAAAGGCTAAAAACTCCTCGGACAGAGGTTCTAGTCTGAGTACGTCTGAAGGGTAAAAGGTAGCACCAAAATAAAGCTGTGGGAGAACTGGGGAGTGTCATCTGTACCTGCTATTGTTGTAATAATAGTTTTTCTTTCATCTGAACTGCGCAAACACAGAGGTTCACCCAACAGGGGGACAAAGGACCTAAGGGGTAAGAAGAAATGACCCGGCAACACTGGATTGCAGGGTGTAGGTGAGCTCTTTATTCTAAAGAGCTCATCAGGGGGAGTGTGGGGTTAGAATATTATTTTATGCCATGTTAGACCCCTAATTAAAGATTGTGAATTATTATGTAGTTTTAGTTTGCATTATGCTCCTGAATTAGAAGAAGGTGATAACTATTGCATTTGTTAAACTGATTTGCATTACATTAGACTGCTGATTTATTGTGAATGAATGATATTGTTATATGATGCATTATACTGCTGAGTTATAAGAAATACTGTTCGCAGAAAGTCATCGCCTTATTCGTCTGATTAGAAGAGAACGGAACATGCTGGAGTTTTCTGCCCCATCTCAGCAGGAGCAGATAAACGGGGAGCCAAGGTCGTAGCTTAGGCGCCGTGTGAGAGAAAGAATGTGAATGTTTAGGCTTTTATGATTAGGTGGGGGCCACTAGAGGCTATAAGAGTTTGATCAATGCTCCACCATTTTGAGATCTGATGCTGTCTGCATACGGTGTCCATCTCCCACGCGTGTGATCATTAAAATCATCGTTTGACTCAACCCGGCCGGACCAGTGTTGATATTGTGGTTTTTCCTCTTGTCTCCATCCCCAATATTTGAATCTGTAACAGCACTTACAAATAATAAGCATTTCATGACTGAATCTTGGTAAAAAGCGCACTCCTACCTGTCCCTATGTCGTACAGGACTGGTATATGAGGCTGTTTGATGGCAATGGGGAACACCGCTTCATGGTTTTCAAACTGGAATGTGGCTATAGAAAAAATGGAGAAAACAAAAGTAAATTAAGAAAACACTTTTCACTGTTACCTGAATCCGCTTGCATTTAATGTTAAAGATGTTAGAAGTTTACATTCAGAGCAAAGAGAAAGCCATTAACGCTCATAAACAAAAGAACATACAGATATCAAAATTTGAAATTGTAGGTCATTTATAATTTCTTACCAAGGTCTCCAGTGTTTATATGGTAGATAGTGCTGGTATACGACACTTTGGCCAGCAGGTTGTTGAGGATTACCAGGTTATTGGATTCAATTATCAGTTTGTTCTCACCAGAACCTGTGAATTAATAAAAAAAATCAAGAATTCCACAACAGTCTTACAATAACTTGGTTAATATGTTAATGTGTAAGAGCCAATGTAGCAACTTCGTTTTGTGTTGTAATGATCATATAACATAGTATGACTATCATACATGATACTCAATTTTTACGTTTCTAAAGCAGTGTGAAAGTTTGCTTAGCCAGATCAGCTTTACCCATATTTGCTTGACGACCACTAGGAAAAGGAAACATTTTTACTGACCCTTCCATGAAACAGGAGAGTTGGGCTAAAAAGAACACATCATCAAATGCTCCATACACCTTAGAATTTAAACTATTTAATTTTTTCACCAGTTTATAAATAAACTTTAGTCCTGACAGTCAATTCTCACCTTTAACTGTCACGTCTTGATGTTGTATTTCAGTTGTGAGGATGCCTTTAGACACACTTAAGATCACCTACAACAAAAAGACCTCAATAATGTGAAGCAGAATATTGATACCTATACAATCATCTAAACAATAATAGCTACACTAAGCTGTATATGAAACAGGCTTAAGTTACTCTGATTTTCTTAGGTATTGCAGATTGAACTATGTCTTAACTATATACCCTTACTGGTACAGTGTGCAGATAGTGCAGAACACAGGTTTCACAATCAGGTTTCACAATCAGAAAGCATTTCAATGAAAATCATGTTTGTTATGAAATATTTGATGACAGTGGAATGCCTTTGGCTATGGAAGTACAGAAGGTCATCTGCTAATTGGAAGGTTGGTGGGTTGATCCATGGCTGTTCCTGTTTGCATGCCAAATATCCTTGGGCAACAGACTGACCCCAAGGTGCTCTCCAACTCTCTCGGAGTGTGAACGTTAAAGCATAGCGTTCTTGTGTCAATGGGCAGATTAGGCATGTTTTATAAAGAACTTTGAGTGCTCTAGAAGAGTAGCAGGCGCTACATAAGAAACACTACAAATGCCTATGGGAATATCTACTAATTTGATATAGGTGTCAAGCTAACTGTCAAGTAGCAAAATGAGGAAAATAGCATGGAAACTGATGCTAGTTTATTTAAATGACACTACTGCTAAATATCCTTTATGATCACTGAGATTGAACTAAAATCACATGACATGTTTATGTTTTTAAGACCTGGTGTGGGCAGGCCTGATTATGTATACCAATCTATTTGCTACAAAATTACCAAGTTATTTGAATAATAGTATGCAATATTTTATGTAGTCCATGCCATGAAATCAATCTTGCCAAACTGAGATTAATATATTAGATTAACAAGATTAACACCAAGATGGCTGCTGTAAAATAATAATGATATAAAAAAAAAAACATGTGTCTTGTCCATAATCAGTTTTGCAAATTTATCAATGTAATTTTTTTCTGTCCTGAGAAGGATCCAAGCTAGCATCAGCTGTAGGATCACAATCGTTGCATTTAATGACATTTAGGGATTTGAAAGTTAAATACATCAGAATCCCCCTTGAAGTATGAACTTTACACTTTCAGCAGTCATCTTGATTAGACCAGGCAACATTCAATTCAATTCAATTCAATTTTATTTATATAGCGCCAAATCACAACATAAGTCGCCTCAAGGCGCTTCATAGATACAGAG